TTTGAGAGTAAGTTTGATGAGTCCAAGGTCAAATTACTCAAGTTGTGAGCAGGCAAAGATACGAAAGGATCTTGATTCAAGAGTGGTGATGAATCCATGATGGTCGGTGAATTGTCAAAGACGTACAATGGCGTGGACGGAGATGACGTGGAGTTGAGATCCATCGGAGAAGAGCAGAACTCTGGAGAGCTGTTCGCTTCAGTTTTGTACATGTCGAGGAATGTCGTTGAGGTGTTCACCTGTAAAGATGAATTAGGTGTCATCGTTGAGGAGACCAAAGATGGGCTCTTGTCTTCCGTGGGTGACACCGGCACGGAGGCCGAACGACGAGTACGGGCTATTTGCTTGAGGAGGCTGTTTTGTTTATCATTTTGGGTCGGGGTACACATTCCGTCTCCGAATCGCAGGTTATCGGCGATTGATCCGCTTGGGAAGGAGGATCGACGAGGTGGATTTTGCTGTTGATCTTGTTCGTTGGTTTGCTTATCCGCGTCGTTATTGTTGCCCTCGGGATTTTGATTTTCTACGGGAGCGTCAAGAATCGTTACAACCTTGGCCAAAAGAGGACAATCTCTCATGAGCTTGATGAGCTGAGGTTTCATCGCGACAGCACGACCTTTCATCACGTGCCTCATGTGTCTTGTGGCTTGTTTATCTTCGGTGAAGTCTTTGCACAGGTTCCATCCGCCTTGAGACGATTCCATGTAGAAATGAGGTGGGTCTTTGACCTCAACGGCAATCTGAGAATAGAGGTCATCAATGGAACGGTACTCGATGGAAGTGATATCGGTGAGCGGAAACTCCATCTTGAATTGCGTATTCTCGTTGGTAATGTGATATGTGAAGACATTTTGGGGGATGGTGTAATAACACAGAAGGTCCGTGGGAGTCTGTGTCGTCAAAATGCGACGCCAGGTCCCGATGTTAAGCGTATCACATGTAATGACCGATACTTGATTATTGTTGAAATTGGGGGTGAGGAACTCTTGGGGTGGTGTGAACTGCTGAGGTTGAGATATGGAAGCACTTTGATCTTTGAAGGGGAAAAAGAAAAAGAAAAAGAAAAAAAAAAAGTTAAGTATCATTGTTGTTTGAAGTGAATTAAGAATTAACAACATTCACTAAGCGTTTACCATTCATTTTAATGGGTATCCCACCGGTGGGACTGACAAGTCTAATAGCTTGTGTAGCATTCATTCCGTTAGCGTTTGGACTAGCGTTGGGGGAAATTGGAAACCTTGGAGCTTGCTGTTGTGGGTTGACAATAGGATTGGCCGAAAAAG